AACAGATAGAAACAAAATATGATCTGATGGGTTAGGCCAATGAAAAGTGTTTTTTATCTTTAGGAAAATCTGGAAATCTGGATTGAAAATACCAATAACATGATAATGCAGTCTTTAAAAGTTCATATAGACTGTGATTTCCCCCACTTAGACACTTTATGTAAGTTCTGAGACATTATTTATACGGGAATGTTATTTTTATTTATTTATGCTTTTTAAACTGAAATGTTTGTTACTGTTTGTGCCCCACATTGCAGGAAAATGGAGTTTAGGGGAGTCAAACACACATTTGTGACATTTCTTATGTATTAGCCTCTAACCTCTAATCTGACCTAAAACCCCAGATGTATAACTTGCATCATATTTGACAACAACACTCAGAAGTGACATGGTTGTGCTGCACCTGTTCAAAGTTGTACTTACTGTTAAATGATTTGGGTTTATTTCTCACTAACTTTATCTGGCCTAAGTTTTCTAGATTCAAATGGGAGAATGTCTGTCTGAACATTTTTTTAAATCAATGTTTTTTAAGTTAGTTTTACCTGCCAAAAACATCAGTTTATCTGATAAATAAAAACACAATGTGACATTTTATCATTTCTCTTGTGATTCCTATAACCAATATCTAAAATACGGTAAATATGTCTTGTCTAAATTCTGCAATAACCACTCAGCTCTGAATTCAGTTTATGTTGTGACTGCAGAGAGACAGGCAGGCAGCTCACATCCTTCCAGAGATCTGCCGTGTAAAGGTCTCAAAAGATTTACACATCCTGACAGAGCCAATTACTGCTGCAGACGCTACACCAGATGAGATGTGCTCTGCTCGGTTTCCGCTCTTCTCCTCTCTCAGCTTGATTTCACCTTTCAGTTTCCACACTGTTTTTTTGTACTGTCTTGACTCATCTTTGCTCCTTAGACGACCCTAAAAGCCGTACACTACATCGCGTCTTGAACAGTTTGACTCTAACGCTGTGAGAGCTAACTTAAGCTCTCTGGGGCAGAAGTCAGTTTTGAAGGATTGTGGAGGCACATCCTGAGCCAGGTTCACTTTTCAGATTGACACATTGCAGGAGGAGCATCAGTGAGGGCAAAGACGGGCCTGCAGCAACACAAAAAAGCAACTACATTTATGTGATGCGAGCACACACCTTACAGGAACAAGAGCATTTTGTCTTGAAACACCACTTATTGTTTTTGAGACACAACATGCCGAGCAAAACTCTGTAATTAACATTTATGTTATTTGGGTTTGACTGGATACATTTTTTGAAAACCTAAGATATACAATCAGACTAATAATATTTGAGAGGAAATATTTCAATAGATGCTTTCCATCCCTTCATATGGATTAGGATGCCTTTTACTGGGTCGGTAGGATTTTTAGGAGGCTTCTGTGGGGTAATTATCAGCAGTCAGTATACTATCTACAGCAGACCATGAGCAGTCAGTTATAATCTGTTTTAAATTACAGATTTGTAAACACAAGCCCACCTGTGTCGCTTACTTTGTCATTTAGTGACAAACTAAACTATGATCTTTGATCTCAGCTAATGAAATCTCAGGCTAATTTGGCTCTGTAAACATCACCTCCATTATCACCGTAGTTCATAAAGAATACACTCTACGTTTCATGTATCAGCCTCGCTTTTGTGGCTGAGACACACCACCATCAGTGCGTCTAAACAAATCCACCATCCCTGGTCTCGATAAATCACTACACAAGCTCAGGCCCTTTACAGGTAATCCCCTTAAAGTTCATTAAACATGCCTGAACTCTTTGTTCTTTTTTTTCTCTGGCTGCTAATTCAGTGCTTATAATACAACACTGTTATTTATAATCCTCAAATTGTAGTTCTCTACATCAAGTGTTTCATGTATTCTTCACATGGCCTCAGTCAATGTGTCAAATCGGGTGATTGAGGTGTGTCTAACATGTGCAGTGACCTGAAAGTGGGTTTATATTTTCTCAGGCCACAATAAAAGTTGCAGGGCTGCAGTTTGAGATCCCTGAACCAGATGGCAGGAGGATGGTTCTAAAACTACCCAGCTATGGTATAGAGAATTTGTAAGCGTAAAAATTAGGAATGTAATAATTGCATTTGAACCTTTTTATGGACGCATGCATGTATAATATGAGTGTGCCGTTGAGAAGCCAAGTCGAATGAATATAGATTCATCTATTTGTATAAAAATGGATCTGTTCAGATGAAAGCTACCATGTGAGTGAACTCTTAATTTGCCTTCATCTGCTGCTATTTTTGTGCTGCAGGAGGATTTTGTTGCTGCTGTTCTTCTTGCTGTATGTAAATAAAGATGCTGCAATGTGGGGAAAACATATTTTCACTGCAGCTTAGCTCAGTTGTCAAAGTTGCACTCGACTAAACAGGCCACTAAAAGTCTCTGGTTCTCGACAGAGTGCTGTATCCAAAGATATTAGTGGAAAGTTGAGTGGAAGGAAAACTTTTAGTAGAAAACGGTGCACAAGCTACAGAAACAGCAATGAAGAAGGCGAAGTAAAGTCCATTCACGAAACTGGAGAGGAGATTATATGGATAATGAAAAATAGAAAGTCAAATTAAGTCATCTTGAGGCTCTAAAAATAGAGCAATTATAAAGTCAAATGCAATTATTAACAATGTCACCGAGAGGGATGGCTGGAAGAGTGACGTCTGTTAGCAACATTAAAATAGCATAAATTATCTGTTGGCTATCAGTGTTATCTGAAGGCATGCGTCCAGAAATTTGTCATAAGCGTCACTCTGTTTGCCGTCCAACTTGACCAAAGCAGTACACAGGAACACAAGGCGCCTGCTTTGAGCATTTTGCCACTCAGGATGTTTGTCTGGTTCTTGTTTATCTGCATTTGTGCAATACTGTGAGAAATAAGCAGCTCAAAGGCAAACAACTCTGTCAAGCTTGTGTAGGAGGGGAAGCTGAAAGTAAAAGAAAATGGCACGTGGACTAAAATAAGCCTCCCAGGGTATGCTGGGGTTTCCTGTTCAACTGAAGCAGATAAAGCTATAAAGTCAGGTATATATTTATACAGACATTTTGTTTGAATGTTGTGGTCATTGAGCAGGATGTTGAAACCCTCATGAGTCCTGAGGTCTGTGGCCTGTTTTGGCCTTTAAATGCTTTTGGATCTCCACCTTGTGGCTTGAAGTCCACCTTGCAGTACCTAACGGCTGCACATGCCTAAAACAGACACCTAGACATAAACACGACTTTCCACACCCGCTGACTGAGAGCCAAGACTGAGGGAACACAAAATAACACAGGCCAGCAAAGTGTTTCCTTTCAGGAAAGTGATTCAAATATAGCTTTACAAATAAAAGTATGCACAAGTATGCTAACAAGAGCTCCTCTTTTAGTTAGGCAATATGATTTTTTGTTGTTGTTGTTTTGCTGCATGTATGTTAAAAAGTAACGGCGATGATAGAGGAAGTTAAGGGAGCAGTCACATTTTTTCTAAAGAATCATAAGTCTTTGGGGTCACAGGGTCAGCGCTCCAGCCTGACGTCACTTCTCGAGCACGCAGAGCGAAAACATGCCAGAGAAGAGCCGCAGCAGATTAATAATTTCTGAGTGTTCTGGGCCGCTAAACTCCTCTCTGTGTCCTCAACTAAAATAACAAAAGTAAATGAGAGTTAGGCAGACCCGGTTCCTTATGCGGGCCTTGAAGGAAACAAGAGCATTTCCAGAGGAGCGTGCCAGCACAAGAGTGTCAATTTAATTTGTGGTGTGAACAATAGCAGGCCGAGCTGACCTAGTACATAACAACATAAATAAACTTAATCTGTTTATTCCTTGTAACTATGTACCAAACAAGTTTTGATGCACATTTTTGAGATGTCTGGGGTGCACCGATCCACTTTTTTCACTTCCGATACCGACACAGATATCTGAGGTTTAGTATCGGCCGATACCAATCCAAAAAAAAGTGCAGAATTAACTTAAAACTTTTTATACTCTTATTTTTAACTACGATGGGAAGTAGTTTGCAAGATGTTCAGGTGTACGACCAAACTGACTTATACAAACTGCATATTAGTTTATTCAGTGGTTTGCACTACAGAAACACTTCCACCACATTTGCATGACATGGCTAAAGTTAGCATTGTATTTGTAACCATTAGTAGTCGTTGATGTGAACAATATGACTTTCTGCACAGGGCACCACAAGTGGAAAAAAAGTAATATTGCACCCAGAATATTTTTTTCGAATGCTTAGCTGGAAATTAAGTTCAGTGGCAGATAAAACTGATGTTGGCTGGAGTCGATACAATATTAAAGGGCTGCTTTATTCTATTTTATTTTAAGAAATTTAACATGCATTTAACTGTCTATAATTCAAATCTCAGCATTTTCAGTGGGATGACAGAAGAGAGGGTTGCTCTTTAGTTTAGGGCAAACGAAGGGGAAATTTCACGGTTTTATTCGGGGAGATTTGGGCTGCGGTTCTATTTGAACGTCTGTTTTGTGTGGATAAACTTTAATTGCCTTATTTCCACTGATTACAGATTCTTTAAAGCGCCATTCGAATTCTGCTATCCATTTGCTTATAGACTTTCCATCCAAAATCTTAAGATGTCGTTTGAACCTTGCATCAAAAAACCTAAGTGCATCTCTTAAACGGAAATTGGGTTCTGGTATCCATCTGCCCAGGGCCTTATGTAACTTTGGGCCGACCCTGTTACAGAGTTTTTAAAAAATGACCATTTCACTAGATATGACACCTTTAAATGAAAATATGAGTTTCCTTAAGTAAATCTGTGTGTATATACGTGTGCAGCCCAGAAGTGAAGCCTCTAATTAAGCAAGCATGGAGCGTGTAATTTCAAGCCTTTGCTCTACTGGCTCTGAGCTTCTTAATGACATGCTTCAAAACTCTGTGAGCCACAGAAGCATGACTGAGAAGAACAAGAAGAAGAAGAAGAGAAAGAGAGAGAGAGAGAAAACCGTCCAGCCCCTCTGAAGATTTCCTGTCTCAGGAAAGGCGCACATACTGTGAGTCATATAGGGCAGCTCCCGCCTGGTGTTTACTCTGCTGCTACACCGAGCTGTGAAGTCGCCTTTTGGAGGAGCAACAGGCGGCTGGACCCCAGAGACACTCGGATATTTAACTCCTCTGTCCAGGCGCAATTAATGAAAAGGAAAGGGGGTGTGCGGTCCGGTTCGACATGGAGCTGCTTCGGTTTCCCGTTTTCTGCTGCGGAGCGGTCCTGTTCGGTATCGTGCTTCTGCCGGTGGAGACGAGTGAGTTCAACTTATTAAAACTTGTTGAAGGGGCGAGTTGGCTCAAAGTTTCGACAAAGAACTTTATTATTATTTATTTATTTATTTATTTTTGAAAGAACGATTCAACCCACTGTGCCTAACGCAGACTTTTATTACAAAATGTAGAGTCTGAGAAACTAAAGTAAAAACTAAAGTAGAGCAATTCGAACATTTATTGTCTGAAATTAATCGTCGACTTTTAGAAACTAATCCAATATTTGAGTTCCTTAAGATGTTTCATGTCATGTGAAAAATGGCTTAATGTCTTAGGAAGATGGGACCGACTTCATCTTACGAGACAAAAGTGTTTTTTTGTGTGTGAGTGTTTTGTTTTTTTGTTTTTTTTGTGGGGCACGTTTGGTTTGACAGTTTGATCGGGTGTTCCGAAAGTTGCGGTTTTGAGAGACTCCGATTAATCAAAGTAAATACCACGAATAATTCTGGCAATTGATATGTGTGACCGAAATGGACAAAAATCAAGACATTGAAAGGTCGGTTGGTTTCGTTTGGTGCCGTTTTTTGAGTATTTAAATCCCTTGTCAGGGGCGTCCACAAAGGTGGGTTTGAGGAGGCTATGCTGCAAACCCAATTTCAGCAAATTGCTGAAATCCACAAATGGCTGAAACGCCCTCTAAAAACCAGCACAGCTGCCCTTTTTTTAATAATTTAACCACAAAATATACCTCAGCAACCATCTTAGGACTACCCTAGGCTGATATCTACAGTCTTCCTTATGCTGTGCGGCGAACAGTAAACCAGCACCAAGCTAAATGAATGCCGCTCCTGAACTGGCTGTGTTCAATAGTCTGTCAAGTAATATTTTATCTGTGTATTTCAGCTTAATAAGCTGTATTTCTTTCAAATATTTTAGATATTTTATGCACACACACAAAAAAAATAAAAATAAATCTGCAAGTAGTCAACGTTTCTTTGACTACTCTAGAGTTATGTTCCACAGAAAAATCTACAAATGATCTGGGAAAACGTGGAGGTCCTCTGTGGCTTGTTTTATAGATATGGATCTATAAAATGAGTTGCAACTGCAGTCCAGAATGAAATACTGTGATACCATTAAATGTCCACTATTATGAGAGTTGTGCAAACTTTTAAAGTAGAAATGTGTAAGTTATGCTGTCACATTTTTTTTAACAAAAGTGACCATAATTTCAGCTAATAATATTATTATTAGTCATTGGCAAAATGTTTTGATATACTCTATGTCTAGTTGCAACATCTATAAACTTATTTATGCTAATTTTCTTGTCTTAGTTTTTTGTCTAACTCTCACCCACCTTAGACCTTGTTTTTTATGTAAATCATCTGTTTATATTCCAATCGTCATTTAGTTAATCAGCATTTGTGGTTATGAGTCTGTTCCATTCTTATTTTGTGGGAGTAAGAAAGAGAATATACTAGTTGTAGCATGGCATTGTGCTTTTTACGTGCATTAAAACACATTGAACAATAATTTAGACTAAAAGTCAACCACGTTCACTCCTTAAATTTCTGAACCCTTAGTATGTCAGTGTTTGGACCCTGGAGTTTTTTTTCTGCAGCACTTTGTTTCTCTTTGAGGTCGTTAAAACTTTTTAAATAATAAAGTTGGAATAGAATGGTTCAATTTTAAGAGGTATACTGTCCCAATTGCTTCCCTAAATTAGGGAGAACAATGGTTAAAACCAGCTGCACACCTGGAAACAGCAGTAATTGGTGCTTCTTTATACACTGAAAATTGTAAGTATTTTTTTTTAGATTTTAAATGTACACCACCCACTGTGAGGTCCTGTATGTTGCCTTCAGTATCAATGTTATTGTTCCTCAAGATATTTTTTTGCGGTTTTGAATGGCTTACCTTCATAGCATCCATAATAATGATGTGAACTTTTAGCAATGTATTTTTTCCTTGGCTTTCCAAAAAGCAAAGAGTGTATTTTTCAGTTCAAAATGTACTACAAGAAGAAAAGCAGAGCTGGAATGCTCCTTCAATCTTTTCTAGTTTTGTAGAAAAAAAAAAAAGGCAAAAATGTAACATGCGGGGAAACAGACTCCCTTTGTTTGGCTGAAAGATGAGTTGTAATTGTATGTCCCACTTTTGAACTCTTGAACTTACTGAATTTTCAAATTTCTAAGTTAGATAAATAACAGATAGGACCTTAAAAATGATCATTTTTGATTGGGGGAAAAAGAAGGTGTCCTGCAAAAGCCAAACTTTCATTTAAAAAAAACAAAAAACAACTTTGTATTTCTCAAATTAAACACACTTCTGATTATTTGTGTCTCAATAAATCAGAAATATGCAACTTCCTTCACCAAAAACGTTGATGCTGTGCTCAGAACATCTATGTTGGTTTGTGAAATTTGTTGTTAGCTTTTACTACAAACAGTAGTTATCACTGAGAACATCCATAATCCGGTTTTCCAACTTAACCCTGAAACAAGTTTAGTTTGATGTTATTCCCAGATTGCCACGTTCAGAGATCAGTAGAGCGCAGCTTCAGAAGCCATGGGAGTTTGTTCCTGGTTCACTGCTTTTCACTACATCACAGTCAATTTGATTGTGTTTATCTTGGAAATAACCAGAAGTTATTTTGAGCCCCACTAAAGGAAACCAAAGTATCACATTCTGAGAACAGCAACCCTACTGAAAAATAAACAGTACAGCTAGTTTATATTTGACTAATCATACTTTAAGTATGTTTAAAGATTATTTCACGTAATAAAGTTTTGCTATAACAGCCTAACACACAGAAATACCTGTCAAACATCTGAACCTGCCTTAAATACTTCAAAATAAGTTGCTATACAAAGTATAATATTTCACTTCTTTCTTCTAATAATCAGACTTAGCAAATTAGGCCACATATACTTCAAAGTCCTGTGTAGTATTTTCTAAAGACCAGCTTCTGATTAGGTTGTATGTATGCGTGTACATAAAAAATAGATTTCATCACCACTTTTGGTCATTTGGACAAGATCTAAATGTGCTGATCCAAGTATCAAAATGTGGTAATATTATTATTATGTCACATTTGTCCAAAAAAAATGTTTTTACATTACTGTAAAACCTGACACCTTGTCGTGACAGTATATTATGAGACAATTTATCTGTAAACTCCTCCACCTCCTCCCAGTGCTGCTACTGCCATCTCTCAGTCAAAAACAACCAATCAGAGCCAGGAGGAGTGTCTTAGCGCTGTCAATCATACTAGTGATTGCTAAATGTGCCAATGGCGGCGAAACAACATACCATTTCAAGTAAGACATTTATCTGTCATCAATAGTGGCCATGCTAACCAGCCCGAGCGGTCAGAACGGGCTCCATGTTTGGTGAACCAGCTTTGAGCAGCATATACACGAGTGTGATTGACAGCTCTAAGATCTGACTCTAGCTCTGACTGGCCATTTCAGATTGATTTATGTAGTTAAAACTGGGAGAAGACAGAGGAACTAATTTTTTCACTGACTATTATAACATACTGTCATGACATAGAGACACTTTTCACAAATGTGTAAAAAAAAAAAAAAAAAAAGATTTTTATCAAAGTTACATACTCCAGATTTTGTGCTGACCTCTCCCCTCTGCATGATGGATGCATGTGGCTTTAGGAGTCTGCTCCCAAGCTCACATTTGCTGTGTAATTTTCAAGACAACGATGAAATTACTCATCATGTCCCAAATTACCCAACGTCCTAATGTACCAAAGTTCACACTACCTAACCACATGCTTGGTTCCTCCAGTGCGCCTAAGTGTCACTCCAAGTGAAATGTTTGTGGAGCCTTTCTACTCCTCCTTATCGTTCTGTCTGTCTTATCTTTGACCAAGTCACCCTGCTGCCAGGAAGTTTTACCTTCATCTGTCTCAGACTCAGTCCCAGCGGCACCACGTAGCTCTGGCTGCTTCTAATCCCTTTTCCCCCCACGACTCTGCAATTATATGCAGCCCTGGGTGACAATTACCACCATTCATCCCGTCCTCAACCCGCCTCCTGGGTTAAAATGACATGCTCTTTGAGAGGAGCTACTCTAATGATATAATTACTTCAGCTCAGCCACCTTCCTACTACTCAGGAATGGGCTTTCATCCCCTCCGACCCTCATTTTCGTTGCTGATACACTTCAAAAAAACACCTCTCGAGCCCACGGGGCAGAAATTTAAATTGCTAAGTCATTTAGTTTAGTCTGGAGTTCAAGTGATGCTTTTTGACTTTGGGAGTTTGTTCAGCAGAGATGAGCTCAGACATTTCTCTCTGCTATTTCCTGAGACAAGTTTTGTGCAAAAACAAGATGTCTGGATGCATTTCAGTGCAAACTTTCCTGCTCTTCCCTTTTAGGTTTTTTTTTGTTGTTGTTTGTTTTTTGCAGAAGCCGTGCTCTTTTACCGTAAGCCCACCCTGCAGCGTGGCCAAGCTAACACAGAGAGATTTTTGTACTATGTTTCAGGGGCATATTCTGAAATCGGTGTGAAGACGTTCAGCTGCCAAAAATGCATGTTTCGCTAACACTTCCCACCCTGAAAAAACATCTGACTTTGTTGGTCATGTGATCAGCCATGTACGCGTTGCAGCCTTCACACGATGCTCTTAAAAACCTGCACGTAGATGGAAACAAACCCACGTATTTTCAGTATGGCTGCGCATCAAATTCATTGGTTCGTAAGCATATAGTTTCCTGTACACAGTCAGGATGCAGCTGAAGTGTGGTTGTGTGAACTTCCTTTAGCAGACAGAGCAGTCACATGCTGCAGACTTTTGCTTTTTAAATCGTCTTTCGATCTGTCTTTGTTCCCAGCATAGACAGTAGGAAGTAATAGCTTCTTTGCATGGCTTGTTTTCCCACTAACTGCCCTTTAACCTGTAGCCTTGCGCTAAAAGTCTTCCTACCCCTTAAACATTTTTCTTACATTTATAATGTTAAAACCCCAAATTTTGATGCCGTATTTTTAATAGTATGAAATGAAGTACAGTTATGTGTAATTTGGAAAGAAAATAATGCCTTGTTTATTTTATTTTATTTTTTTTACAAATAACGTGAAGTGTTGCAGTATTTATATTGTGGCCCCCTGAGTCAATACCTCATTTAGTCAGTACAGTAACTTCAATGAGTCTATGCAGCTGTAGTTGCAGCTGCAAGTACAGCTGCATAGACTCTTTTGCTGTTTGTTTCCGCCGGCTTTGCTCATCTACAGACTGAAATTTTACCTAATCTTGTTTGCAAAATTGCTCAATTTTCAAGCGTTACCATCAATTCTCAAAGACCTCTGGCTCAGTTTTTTTAGCATTCTTCTCATATCAGAAGGTGATAGTGTAGCCCAATCTCAAGTACTTTTCAACAGATTGTCTTCCAGTGTTACATTGTATTTAGCCTCATCCATAGTCAAATCAGCTCTGACAAGCTTCCTCATCTCTTCTGTAGAAAACCACTGCACCAACTGCCACCAACTGGTTTCACAATAACAGTTTTGTACTCCATGACATGTGTTGTGTTGGTTAAGTTTTTCTCTACTCATCAAATTTTGACTTCTTCAGAATCAGCTTCGTTGACTTATTTGTACATAGAAAATATTAATGGAAACACAATGTGTATGTACAGCTATTTATATGTATTAATAGTGCAAATAAATCTGTTTTTGCACAGTAGAGTAGCTGACGACTCAGACTGTAAGGTTTCTGTTTAATGTGTTCATTACAGAAACAGCCTGGGGGAAGAAACGGTTTCTGTGGCGGCTGGTTTTAGCAAGTAATCCTCTGTAGTAACTTGCAGGTGAAGGTAAAAGTCTAAGCAGTTTGTGTCCAGGATGTGTGGGGTCTGCAGAAATATCAGCTTCCCTTTTCCTGACCCTTCACTTGCACTAGTCCAAGCTGACGATATGATCAGCCACAGTGATCTCCTCTGCAGATGTGATTGCTCTTTGAAGTTTGGGCCTGTCCTGTGTTGTAGCTGAGCCAAACCACACAGTGATGGATGAAATGGACACAAGTGTAAATGTTCGTTTGATCTCACCAGAGCAGCTTCTTCCACGTTTGCTCACAACCCCTAAAGGCATGTTGCTTTCGAACCTAAGTTTAGAAAACAGTATTTTATTTTCCTGCAACTTCACAAGTATGCTTCTCTTCATGTTGGTCTATCTTGTAATAGCCCAATAAAATGCATTGAAATTTGACAAAATGTAACAAAACATATGAATATTTATGCAAGACACTAAATCACACTGATTCTGAAACAAGGGAAAGTCAGTGAAACACAGTATATATTGCTCATGACTTTTATTGGCATCGCAAACTGAAAATGTTCAATTAGAAGCAGAATCTCATGGTAAACAAACTGCTGCAGTTTCGTGATGGTGAGCTTTAGGGATTCTTTGACCTTTCCATCCAGCATCGTTTGTCACGAGGATGGATATTATTCTGTTTTTGCTCTGACTGAAATTATAGACAAATAAAGGCAAGTACCGTATCTTCCGAACCTTTATATAAAAAAAAACGACAGTGCGCCTTACGATCCGCAGCGCGTAATTCTGGAGTAAAACAGCGCCCTCTAGTGAATTAATACAGATTGATTCTGGATGTGCTGACTGACCTGTGCGGTACAAAGTATTTTAGTTACATCACATTACGGCTTCGTAGTCAGGAGCGTTGCGGAGTAATGCATACTGACCTATCTGAATATTTTGTTTCTCTTGATGCGCCTTGTAGTCCGGTGTGCTCGATATAAGGAAAAAGATTGAAACTACATTATAATCCAGTGCGATTTATGGTGTGAAAAATACAGTAGTTATGTTCTTGTTGACATTTTCTGCTTTATGAAGATTCAAAAACATCCCACGGCATATTCTCGCCTTGCCATTTTGAAGTGAAATAGGCCTTTAAAATTTAAATCATGGTTAACTAATTGAACGTCTTCAAAAGTCTGATCAGTTTTTTTTAAAGTAAAGTATGCTAAAGTCAAATCTTATGTAAGTTGTCCTTAATTGTGGCTCCAATGATTAAAAAAACATTTTCTCGTTTAGTTTTTTTCTCCACTGTACTCAAAGTAAGGGCTTTTCTAATTTTTTTTTGAGATTATTCCAGTTTAGTAGAAGATGAAAATAATTCTAAGCTTTAAAATAATTATTTTACTTGCGATTGCAGTGATTATTAAATAATCATGGATGATTTTTAGGGATAAGAGGTCTTTTGATGACCAAAATTCAGGCTATTTTAATGTTTTTGTCTTGAATAACATGCATATTTTCCCTCCTTCCTCCAATCACTCATGATCACAGATTAGATCCTTTTGTGTTTTTAATAGTTCTTAGCACACCACATATTTAAATGGGGGAGCCGACTCATAGGAATGACAAATTAAAGGCTTCCCAGCCAGCAGATGGCTTTGCTTTTCCTCTGTTTGTTGTACTTACCCGTCTGGCAGTTGTCTCAGGTCTTAGGTGATTATCAAGCCCGCAGGCGCTCATCACACAATCCAGTCTGTCTGACTGATCTCAACGTGCCTGCTGGCAAAGTCAAGTCCGAACAAGATCAACAGAGATCTTGAAAAAATGCATCTGCCTCCCTGCAATGAAATATTTTGGATTTTCTTCTCGCTCTCTTGAATAAATCCACTCTGAGACAAATACCGTTTTTATTTTCATTGCTTATTTTGTTGTTGTTTTGCTTGTAAAACATGAACGCTGTTGTCATTTATTATTTTCGTGTCATCTGGTAACCAATCCGACTTTCTCCGTCTTTTTCCCCCTCTCATTTCAGATTCCTCCATGATCCATATAAGACAGCTGTGCAAGTTTTGTGATTTGCGGGCCACCAACTGTCCCGGTAAGGGAATCTGCAAGGTGGATTGTGACATTACCTCCATCTGCCCTGATGATAACGACGTGTGCGTCAGCATCTGGTAAGCTCTGGTTCCACGATAACTCATCATTTGGGATCAGATTCTCATCTTGACTCAGATTATCTGATGTTCTGAAATTTTAATGCATTTGTTCTGAAACATGTAAAGCTGACAAAAGCAAAAACAGGAGAATTCTGTAAGCAGTCCAATACGTTTCACAGCACAGTAAATGTCATACTTTTAAGGAATATGTAGGAGCTGTACAAAGAGCAAGCTTGGAATAAACCCAAGCTGGACAAATCTACATATTGAATGTATAAATTCCTGCTGAGAAAGTCTGGATTTCTGAGATCTGAAGGACAATTTAAAGAGTCGCTGCTGTCCATGTACCATTAGCTTTCTGCTAACCTCAGCTCATATCATGACTGCTGCATTGGCAATGTAATGAGAAACTTCAGCATGGCCTTAAGCTTTTAACACCAATACAAATCTGCTTCGTGCCTCTTTGCACATTCTGAGTCAGATGTGAGGTCGTCGAATGGTCAGTTTGCTTTCGTTTTTCAGTTTCATCAGCAAATTGTCCATAATTCCCTGGATAAAAGACAAATTCAGAGGCTTCGGGCTGAAAATAAAAAATTTTTAGGCATATAAAAACCAATTATTGCTTCTTAAGTTGGTTAACACACCTGGGGGTCACTGGAAAACGGCCTCATCTTCCCTCCAGGCAAAAATAAAAGAGTTGAATTCCATTTTTTTTTATCTGTTTTTCAATACAATCAAATGTATTTTTCTAATAATTATTGTTAAAAATAAGTTTTAAAAAAAACTTTCTGAAAGGCTACTTGCCATGCTTATCTTTCATAATTAGCTGCTAGGCATCCACAAGCTAGCATAGCAAAAAGGAAATGAATAAATGAGTTTGTGACACAAAGAAAAATATTGAAGGAACTGTCCAGATGAAAAAGCCCTGAGAGCTGCAGTGGGTGAAATAGATGTGTGATTAATATAAAATATTGCACATTTTCTTATAATTAAAAGAGGGGACTGTGGGGAAAAGTTTTATTATCAGGTAATATATTACGCCATAAGCGTCAGATTCATAAAGTCATTACATTTTACTTGATAATAAATTTTCCTCCACAGAATTCATGGCCAACTAAAATCAGAAGGTATGAGGCAGCATTTATGCAGAACCAAAGTAATAATTATTGAATAATGACTAAAAGTGAAAAATAAACATTCTAAAATGTGATGTTTATTTTGAAGTTTTGTCTCAGAGGGATCATGTTTGGGGACATGTAAAGGTTTTGGACCCCTTGCTCCTGCAGAAAATGAGGGTTTTGTAGTCACTGAGTCAAAATCTGGACTTAGATGTGATTTAAAAACTGTGGGATAACTAGGCTAAAAATCCTCTAGTGTGAAAGTATTAGAACAATCTTGCAAAATAGAGTGGACCAAAAGAAACTCTGCAAGTTGTTAGAAGGTCTGTTCCTTTCTTGCTGCATTTTCAAAATTCATTTTCCCTTTTAAAAAAGGAAAAGGCGCAATTTTGTACAACATCTCAACTTTTTTTTGCACCATGTGAAGGTGTTTGTGAAGGTATTAGGACTCTTCAAGGTCATAGATCACAGGTAATCAATATGCTTTGTTGTCTCTGTTTTCTCTCTCCAAGGCGGAAGAAAGACGACAATATTACATTTGAAACAGTTTGTCACAATCCAGCTAATCCCCTGTATGGCCTGTACCTGGACGATTACAACAACACAAAGTGCATTATGAAAGAGAAAAAGGGCAAAGATGCAAAGTTTTTCATCTGTTCCTGTTCCAACGAGGAGGAGTGCAATGATAACATCATTTTTAACCCAAGTAAGTTGGGCATTTTGTCTTCTGTTTTTATATCTTTAATTGTAGTGCATGTTTGAGATCCTGATGTTGTGGTTTTTATGTTTTAGTTAGATCTCCATGGACACATTTAAAGAATGATTTTTTATGCTTTCACTTGTGACACTACCTTGTTTTGCAGCTGAAATAAAGACACTTCTAGACGGGGCAACAATTTTCCAATTTAATATTCTCTTATTTCGGTGAACATGTCTAAATTTTAGTTTTCTGGTTTTATCTGACTGGAGTGTCGCCTGGTGTGACCTTTTGTCATAGTCCACCTGCTTCAAACTTTGTGTGTGAACAGATGATTTTCTGCCGTCTGTTTTCAATAAACCACAAAAAAAAACATCAATTTATTCAATTTTTTTGTGGAACATTCTTTGTAAACTTGTAGTCAATTGTGTATAAAAAAATCCCACTAGGTCTTAAATTGCTAAAATATTTAGACCACCCATAAGTATGCCACCTCCAAAGTCACTCCAGTCCTCCTCATCCCCGTTCTGATGTCTGGCTTGAATTTCAGCAAGTTGTCTTCTCCATAAGAGGGTGAAGTAGCTGGAGCTCTTATGATGAGATTAAAACTAAACATTAAAATTGGTAGCTGTAAAGCCAAAGCAATTAGATGGAACAAGCTGAGAGCTGCAGACGTTCTAACTTTAAATTAGTGTAATGAGTCAGTTGGCGTCTACCCTACAGATTAATTATAGTAATCTGAAGAAGGCTTCAGTTTATAGGTTACTTGTATTAAAAGTTATAAAATACCCATACGACTTGATCTACTTTGCTCTTCTTCTGATTGTAAGTGAATCTTCTTGTAATCACTCAATAATCACAGCAACAGGTAAATTGATATATTAGTTACTATCGGCTAGTCGTGTAAAGCGTCATGCCAGAATGTCAACACGTTCGTACTGTGAGCCTGTGTTTCTTTGATTACAAACCGCTTCAGGACACACCTTTCCTTCTTGACTACTGTTCGTACTGGAACCTCTTGTATTTTTACTGCAGCATCTCTGCAGTAACAGCATAGCGGTAGATTTCTGGGACCTGGCTTGGAACAGCAGAGAGCCAAATTAAAAGCATCTGTGGAGTGCAAACCACGTCATGGAAATGCATTTACGTACTCTCGAGAATATCTGAGCACTCTCTGTGACTTTTCACTGAGTAAAGATGGGTGTTGCTGCAATGAAGGCTGTCGTGATTAAATACAAGTTAGAAAAGAATGATCCCAGTAAGTTCCAGTGAATCTGGCTTGTTATTTTTTAACCAGTGGTAAATTTCAATTAGGCATCCACAGAACGCAGGATTCTTTAAACCGTTATCTTACCATAACCTTTGGGTAGAGTTTGTTCTTCTCAAAGAAAAATACAAGTGATATATTTACTTGTTTTATATATATATCTATATTTACAGATATTTACAGGTAGTTGATGGTTGAGAAATAAGAAAAGTAGACAATTGAAGGACAAAAATGTCCGATCTCAAGTTATTTCTAGGAACCTTAGAGAAGCATCATTCCTCAGTAGTTCATCCACTTCATGACAGGTTTTATTAGCTTTTAGGGATTCAGTTAATTGGTGTTTGAAAGTGTCAATTTGCACTTTTGTTAGGTGTTTTTGGTAGATTTAACTGAAGAAACTGCACCTAACTGCATCTTCGTGACAGCGTGTTATAAACCTGTTATATTGTTGTTTATCTTCCTCTTAAATGATGCGTGAAAACAGAATGCCACAAAAAAATAATATTTCAGCATCCGTGCTGAAATATTTGATTATCAGATAAACCAGACTCCCGTTGAGTTTTATCAAGCGTGTCACACATATTGAGCATATATCCAACAGAATCAACACAACTTACATTATCACAGCAACCATACAATTTTACCGCTACTCCATCTCTATTTTATGAAGCTGCTTTGCATATCTTGGCATTTAAATTACCAGAAGTTGAAGGTGAAACTGATGACATGTACTCATTCACTATATTGACACAGTCATAAATCACTGAAATGTCATCCCAAGGTGGCCAGTTGAGCCTTAAATATGGACAAAGTAAATTGGAATAAAACAAAACTGTACCTTCATAGGAAAAATAACATACTGACGCAGAAGAATGTTTGACTCCACACCACTGACCCCGACTCACAAGCACTGCTTGGAATGGGAGTGCAAGTACTACTTGCTGTAAAAACATGACAAGATTATTGAGTTGTAGCTCTGCTTTCTGATATGTATAGACACAAAACTGTTCCAGCCTTCTAAAAGGCGTTTTCAGCCTTTTAATGGCTGAATGATTCATAGATCTCAGATAACTGGCTGAACAAGTGAGAGAGAAAAAAAACTGTCCTGTGAAAATTGGTCCTGGATTACAAATGAGAACCTTCAGAAGACCAGGAGAAAATCAAATGTTCATTATTTGGAATAACAACATTACAAGTGCAAGATTCTTAAAAGTAAGAATCTCAGCATTCAGTAAATACAATTCTGATGCAACATGAATAGCTACAAATGAGTTTAAGAGCTCATGAAAAAATAATTCATTACACAAATTTATCTGTATCCTTGTTAAAAGTCTGAAGAGTTGAAGAAGTTTAAACTTCAAGGGGGAAGTTATCTCAGCAGACAGACTGCAGGCAGGTGGGCTTTTTTTATAAAACTGGAGAAAACATGCTGCAACACATCCCTGTTAGATTAAACCAAACACTTGCTCCAGAGAAAGGGACAGACATGCTTCTTGTTTTTTTTTTTTTTTGTAGACGTGGCATATTGGCTGACTGAACTAAATGTCTACGTTCATTATGTTCAGCGAGTTTGTCTTAAATAGCAGAGTAGGTAACAATTGCATAGAAGAAGGGAAAGAATGATATTTGAAGTTCAAAGTAGATTAATTAGAAAATTATCATGGAAAGGTCAGCCAAAAATCTGAAATTAGCAAGTGTTTTAATGGGGCAACTGTATGTCATTTAAAAACAAATTAAAGTTGAAAACGATTGCAAGTTGTGTGGGAAACACACAACTAAACAATTGCAGTTTTAATCTTATCAATAAATTAATGATCTTAATTTACTGACTTTGGAACAAAAAAAGGTTTTTACCTCCTTGTTAGCCAAAGGGCATACAAAAGTATGCAAAACCTCTTGTTTTTGTTGATATGTCATTTTCTGTGTAGACTAGAACAGATTGGAAATAAAATAAATTACCCAGAAGTATATTTTATTTCTGCTTACATACAAACTAATATTAGCATTGTAGAGCTGCAAGCTGCTACAGGAAGTAAGAAAACTTGTAGTTTAAAACTCCCTTGAAGGAGTTCTTCAGAAGTCACGAGACTGAAGTCCGAGAAGCAGAAACGAAAATAAATATTTCGGTTCAAAAATCCTCAGAATTTCAAAGTTATGGACGTTTGTGACGTCAAAACTGTGTGTGTGGCTAAATGTTGGGATTATTGTGTTTTGTAGTTTTAAGGATTAATGTACAATGTCTGCCGTTAAGAGCCACCATGACACTCCTACAGCAAACAGAGTATTCATATAATACAATGCCATAAAAATCTGAAAAAACAAAACAAAACAAAACAAAAAAAACACAGTGATCTCTATTGTACAATCATTAGATTTGACCACAACCACACCTGGAGAGATTACAGCTGTCAAATGGTTGCTTTCTTGCAAACTTACTCACCCAGTTTTAAGCTTGTTTGGGGTTTTTGTACGTCATGCCTGGTCAGAGCGTAAACTCTGATTCCTTTGAACAACATCCATCTTCTCCCCTATTCACCTTTTAACTGAGTTTTCTTTTCAGCATTTTTCATTGAGCATTTTAGCATATTTCTACTTGAGAGGTCAATTCCCTTCTTTTTCATTTTAGAGATTTTATAACTTCAACTGTGTTTTAATCGACCTCTGTCTCAAAGACAAAATTAACTAACAGAATGAATTAACTACACCAAATGTCAAATTACTAATCCATAATCCATTCCTTTTTATAGTGAAGGCTTTTTAATTAGCAAGTGTAAGCAGGTTTTAATTTGAGGTAAAATAAGAGTTTTATGACACTGATTTAATCTTATATAATGTTATGTAAGGTTAACACGCAGACCTGTTGATGTTGAAGACAACAACTTGAGGGTTTTACTCAAATGTCTGTGTCAAGAGGCACAGTGACAGGTTGTTGTGAAAAAAACCTTCTCACTCTACGAAAGTCAAAACAAACTGTCTGTCTGGGGCCCTGCAGAGGATTTCAGACATGCGGTTTCCTGTTTAGAAAAAAGAGAAAAAAAATTATAGAGCGCTCGAGGGCTTGGTCTGGGGAGTTAGTGGGATGATTTTTTACATTAATATTACTACCTTGCTCAAGACTGACTCTAGGCCTTTGTCTCACAGAGTCCTCCAAAAATTTATTCTTGTCGTTTATTGTAACAAATGGATTATGTTAAGATATCTTTTTGCACTTTATGTTTGCAGCAGTAAAAAGTAACGTTAAAACATGAAGATTTCTTACTGTAAAGTACCAAAAGCTAGTTTGGGCCTGATCAAACTGGAGAGAGTTTCTACTTCTCACTGTGCTATTTGTAGTGATATATTCTTAAACATCCCGTTTTATGACTGCAACTTGAAAATGTATACTGTAAATGCTGCAAATGGTGCTGTTTGCCAAAACAATCGCAGGTTCCAGACACACCCTCTCCTAGCATACAAAAATAAAACAAATGCTATAAAGAGGCACAATACGCGGTCGGCTGGGTCGGCGTTTGGAGTTGTTTTTGAATCTGTGGTCCAGACGTTAATTTAAATGGACATTCCACAACCAAAGAGCAGTTCCTCCGCTGACCTAAGAGTACCGTCGTACTTGAGCATACCACAAGCAAATCTGAATAGGCAATTTGGAATCGGTGTAAATCGGATGATAATTGTGCTAATCTAAAGAAAAAAGGAAAAGCGGGGCTTAGTAAAAGTCATGTTTTCATTACAATCCTTATCAGATAGAGTTGCATAACTTCACTTGCACTAGTTAAATCTCCATCTTTTCAAGCGCTTTAGAGAATATCCATCTCGATGAAACTTGATGGGATATATTCTCTACTGATGAGTACCTAAAATCACCTAAATTAACCCACTGGGAGGACTATTCATGAAATGTTCCTGCAACCAAAGGATCATCAGCTGCATGATATATTAAGTCCACACAGAAGAAGTTCTTATGCATACTCCAATAAGTAGAGGGGAAACAACAGCAAAGATCAAGGAGCCTGAGGGAAAGACAAAAAGAACTGTGTCTAAAATTGGGACACAATTTGGGTGATTAAAGTGAGAAACATAAAGATCGACAAATTCTCAAAAATCCCAGCGTAAACAGTTTAGCCTCTTTCATTTTTCTCTTCAATTATATTGTCAATCAAAACAGACGTGTTTACAAAATGAAATGTTTCTACAGCAAATGCAAACTGGCTAGATTAACAGAACTTCTCGGTAATAACTATTATTATGGTTTGAGAGTATGTGCATAGAGTCCTAACTTCTGTTCTCCATTGTGTACCAATAGAAATCTTTACCTTGTATTCAAAGACACATAACTACAAAGATCACAATATTTCACATTTGCGTTCTGCAACACAGTAACAGTAACTCTTTTTCTCAACGGTCTTAGTGACAATTTCTTTCATTTTATGTTTCTGTTATGAAGTTGTAACTGATAACTCCCTGAACATCTGTAGTTTGACAAAGTAGACATTAGTTTTCCAAGATGCAAAGAAAAATCCATACGACCCACAAAACTGTCAATGAACAGAAGAGGTCTGTTTCAGAAAAACTGTAATTTTACCTTAATTAACTGACAAAAAAAAGCTCTTTCAAGAAAAATGTAATTTACTGCAATCAGTTAAATGGAAGAAAACTGTAATTATCTATAATTAATTAACATAAAAATGTTATAGGGCAGAACAGCAATATGAATGAACAGTAGCACCAGCGTTTTTCTGAAAATGAGAGCCATAAAAAAACTGTCAAACATAGAATAAATTACTATGGTAGTTTAAAAAAAAATCCTCTTTTCTGTAATAAAATACAGAAGTGCACAGCAAAATCACAAAATATCACATAGTATTGGTGCTCTAGTTTCTAGTGCACCAATACTAGAAACTATTAATGCCATTGAACAGATTAAATGGCATTAAATACCATTTAATGCAAACTTGACACCTGTATGTAAAAATTAAAATATTAGTATTTATGAATTGCAGTGAAGTTAGTGAGCTGAATTGCTGTGAGCGCAAGAATTTTGTACACTCAATACTTGTATGAAATCATTTAATTTCCTTTATGTTGGACAGTATTGATAGAAAACTATTTTGTCCTGCTTGTTATTCATGACGTATGGAGAGTACAGCAGAATATTCTCACAAGTAGCAGGAAAATCCTCCTGGAAAAAGCTGATGTTGGGCCGGAACCTGGGACAGCTGCACACTCTCTACTGCTGACCTAACTGGGGCCCTTTGGACAAACAGTTGACACAATACTAAAGTGTAGTTATGAAGATAGTTTTATCTTGAGATGGATTCATCCGGAGTATTAATGTGTCTATCCTCACTGTCTTCGTCACAGATTCTCAGGTTGGGCCTGTCATCCTGGTCAGCCTGGTGCCTCTTCTGGTCATAGCCATTTTTGTCATCACTTCGTTCTACTGTTACCGGGTCTGTAGTCAACAGGGAAACCCACGCAAGAAGGGCAAGCCGCTGGACAACACCGACAAGCACCCCATCATAGACAACGAGGGTTCAGACAGCAGCTCCACGCACGCCAACAACCTGAACCACAACACCGAGCTCCTGCCCATCGAGCTGGACGTTCTGGTCGGTAAGGGCCGCTTTGCCGAGGTCTACAAAGCCAAGCTGAAGCAAGGCTCGTCGGTCCGGGAGGAGCACGGCTTTGAAACGGTGGCAGTCAAGATCTTCCAGTTCGAGGAGTACGCCTCCTGGAAGAACGAGAAGGACATTTTCTCAGACGCGGACCTGAGGCATGAAAACGTGCTTCACTTCCTGACAGCAGAGGAGAGGAAGGGGCAGAGGCAGTACTGGCTGATCACGGCTTACCACCCCCTGGGGAACCTCCAAGAGTACCTAACCAATCACATCATCTCCTGGCACGACTTGTGGCTGCTGGGGAGCTCGCTGGCCCGTGTCGTGGCACACCTGCACAGTGACCGCACGTCCTGCGGCCGCTGCAAGGTCCCCATCGCTCACAGGGACATTAAAAGCTCAAATATACTCGTGAAAAAAGACATGACCTGCTGCCTGTGTGACTTTGGCCTCGCGCTTCGACTGGATAACTCTCTGTCTGTGGACGAGCTGGCCAACAGCGGACAGGTGAGACCTCCTGCTTCTACATTCATCATTTAATTTCAGCTCCAAAATCTCTCACTGTGCTTAGTTTTGCTATTTAATGTGACTGACTGATTGAGTGAGGCAATCAATATCTGAAACTTGTGAATTAATTAGTTTTTTTGCCCCCTTTACTCTGATTGCCCTAAATGACATCTAGTTGTAAGAGCAAGGAACACAGTTGACAAAAAGTGGAAACGTGGAGAACACGTGGAAACTTACAATAAATTACCAATTGATGGTTTATTAGATTAAAATTTGTTCAAGTTGATTAAATAGTGACGACCACTTAGACCTTAGTCCATTGTTGAAGTTTGGTCGTCATTCAAAAAGGGCTCTGCTGATCACTGTTAAGTGGAGCTAGTTAATACAGTAATAAAGATGGCAGGGTCAGGAGAGAGCTGCAGACTTTCAGAAAATGGGCAAGATAATCCGTCATCATGGCTATTATTAGTTATAAACTCCACAGATTTTGTGTTTATGGAAGAACTGACGAGAAGAAAGCCAAAAGTAGTGGACACAATCCATTTCTTCCTCAGTTAACATAAGAAAGAAAATGCTCTGGTCTGATGAAAACATAGTTAAACTTTTTCATCTACAGGAGAATACAGTGTGTTGTGGAAAATTAAACTTGATTCTAAATAAGCTATTGTTATTGAAACATAGTGCAAGCAGTATGGAAGTGTGTGTCCAAATAAGACCTTATTAAAAAGCATTTTTAATAAGTTGATAAAACTAGATATTTGAATGGGTTTTAATTATTTTGCTAGGACCAATGTACAAAAAAACGAGTCTACAGGACTAGAGAACTAATGGGGAATTGTCCATAGAGTTTGCAGATGTAATTGCAATATTAATTATTTACTAAGTGTGTCTGGAAACCAAAACACATTACACATTTCAGATCTTTATTTGTTAAGAATATAAAAATAAAAAAACGTGTATTATTCCAATAAAATACAGAGGTTTTTTTTGGTAATGTAATAAAATGTTAGAAAAGTTAAAGGAAAATAATTATTTTGTTGGGCGCCAAGTTAGTTTAGGGAAAGAAAATCAGCGTTCCGTATCTTAATGAGCGGCCTCCGGCTATTTTTTTCTTTCCACAAGGATTTGAACTTAATGGACTCAATTTTCTGATGTAATAGCTCACTCTGTTTTTAAAATGACTCATCTTGAAAAAGCCTCATCATTGGCCACACAGCACAGCTAATGCATTTTAATGCTCTTAATGCATGTGAAGGATTCTCTTTTCCAAGCTGATAATAAGGTTATTAAAGAGAAGCGTCGCATTGATGAGCTCAGGGACACATTTACTTTCAAATTATTCTCCACATCCATCGTGTTTTGTTTCAAATAAACTTGTTGTGACAAATGCACAGGCACGAAGTGACCGCGTGTCACCCAATTACTGCAGCTAGAGATGAAAGTTTGCTCCTCGACGAGCACCCTTCAATGAAACAGTCATATAGAGGGTGGCTGTTTAACAAAGTCGTGTAGGTCTGTGTGTTTGTCTGATTTTTTTTCCAATTTGTTTTTTTATTTTTTGTCAGGTGGGCACGGCCAGATACATGGCTCCTGAGGTGCTGGAGTCCAGAATCAATCTGGAAAACATCGAGTCTTTCAAACAAGCAGACGTTTACTCCATGGCTCTGGTGCTGTGGGAGATCATCTCCAGATGCAGCGCAATCGGAGGTAAGATGGTGGGAAATACAGAAACTCTAAGATATCCCCAGGAAATTTTGCATTGCAAGTAAATTCAGGCATTAAAATGTGATCAATTCTTCTTAAAGGTGCTTTGTTTTGCAGCTGAAGGCAAAATTTGTGGTTTTCAGGCGTTTTTGACGTCTTGATTTGTTTTGCTCTGTGTTTCTTTCATAAAGTTAGGATACTCTAGGTGTTTAGGATTTGTATAAAACCATCAGCAATGTATGAAATGGTGGTTAAAATAAGAGCAGATGCTTGGTAATAACTCACGAAGCTTTTTAAACTTACAGCGTAAAAAAACATCAGGTTTCTGCGCCTCTTTGGTACAGAGTGCTTGTCTTCTAAAAAGATATTTGATATACTCTGAAATTTATTAGTTAATTTTTTTTTTAAATGCAGGGGAAAAAAAACATTTTAATCTAAAAGTTGTGCTGACATGTTTGTTGGTTGCTTCATTCTTTTTATTTGATCCAAACGAGCAATCCCACTTGAAATGATTAAAATATCTCCTGATTTTACACAAATATCCGCTCTCATAAGTTGAGGATCTTCAACTAAGCTGATAATTTAAGCTTTATGTGAATTATTTATTACTCATTTCATGTTTATATGCTTAGTTCAGTACTAGAAGGAGTACGTGAAATGTTGCAGTCGGGTCTGTCTTGCCAATCTGCTCCATGTTATCACACAGGAAATCATGAGGATAAACGGACTAACTTATTCATTTTGTCTGGACAGAGAACAGAAGTTCTGGATTTGGGACTTACTCACTGGTTCTGTCTCACCCACAGACACTTCCTGTAAATATCTATATCTCAGGAAGCTTTCCCACATTTTCCAAACGATGGAAGAAAAAAAATATTTTTAGAGCAGACAAGCATATAGGAAAAGGTTTTTCTGGTCGCATTTAATCATGTGAAGATGGAAACTATGCAAGAGTATCAAAATAGAAAAACTTCACATCACAGAACTCGTTGTTGGAAGTATAAATATAGAAACTGAATCGTACAAAACAGAGGGGTGCACAGGAGTGATATTGTAAATAGGAATGTTTTAAAGAGCAATATTTGTTTTTGTGGCTCTATGATTGCTGCACCATGCAGTCACATCAACACAGTTACCTAAAAACATATTTTTTAAATCGTAATTTTTGTTATCACAGTAGTGCCACAAAATAGCACAAAATAAAAATCTAAGCCCATACTGCTGCTGGAGTTAGTCTGTATCACTCTCTGTTAATATTAAGATACTTTAAAGTGACATGAAAAATTCCCTCTGTTGTCTTGAGACAATTGCATTTATTTCCTAAACTTACACAAATAGAAGAAATGATCTGACCTCATATTCAACTCAAATACTTCTTGAAGCATACAGATATGCATGCATAAATCCATTCATAAATCAAAACCATTTTAGAAAACTACATTTATCATTTGAGCTTGGTGAAAAAGAGACATTTGTTTGTTTGCTGAAGCAGTTTTTTTTTCTGACTCATTAATCGTTCACACATTAAGTCCCCTGCACTCGATGAAAGAACCAGTGTTTTGACAGTTTAGCAAAAAACCTATTATATATAAGATATTGTGATATTTTTTGCCTGCAACAAAGGCATTAATTTATTTCATTGTATCCATAAAATACCAAATATAGTATAGTTTGTCATCTGAAATCCGACAATGTGCATTTTATCTATAGTTTTTAGTCGTTAAATTAGTTGTTTTGTTCCCTCAATCAGGAGGAACTGAGTTGTATATGAGATAATAGAACTATTGACCCATTGGTTATGAAAAAACTGGGTGAATTAAGACCTTTTCTTTTCAGTGTTCTTACATAACGGTTTTATTTTGAAAGCTTTGCGTTTTCTGCCAGAAAATGATTCAACATAGCGTGGAAATCAAAGAACCCTTTAAATATCCATTGTGGTAAATATATTCTGCAGTGAGTGAACGGAGATTCAACCAAGAGGCTCAGTACATCACAGAAAGGTTAGCGGTTCACCCACAGAAAATAAGAACCCTATAAAAAGACGCCATGTTCGTGTTGAATCGGTGCCAGAAGGGACAGCATTTTAGAGAGATCCAAATTTAGCCCCAGGCCCGTGTGGCCTGTGGAAACCTTTAAATTGTTTTGGAAATTAAATTCTCTGTCAAATCTTTGATATTAATATGGCAGGACAGTAGAGGAAATTTTGCTGGAAGTAGTGAAGAGCAACATTTCCTAATTCATGAGGACATTTTCCACTGGTGCTTACAGTTTCTGCAGAAGAACCTTTTTCTCACAGACTTTTTCAGAATTTGTCACATTGCAAAAAAACATTGTACTAATGTCTTATTTCAGAGACTAAGTCAATATTCAGCCTCCCTATGAATATGTTTAACTGTAACTAATGTTACAGTTAAACATTTTTTAGAGTATTTATACTCCGACTTGTCTTCCAGTAACATCCTGCGTCCATCTTTACATCAACATTCCAGGTTCTTTATTTTACTATTGCCGTGATGTGAATTCCCGTTGGCAGCGGGACTTCTAATGCTTTCTTTGCACAATGACTTTCTTCCTGCTACTCTTTCATAAAACTAGATCTGTGAAGGCCAACATTGTAGTCATAAGCAGATTCTCCCACCTGATGAGTGGATCGCTGCTGCTCCTCCACTTCCCTCATACAGCCTGTCAGTTTAGATTGACACGCATACATTTGCCATTAAGAATATTTAGATCAAACTGTTGTCTTTGTGATGTTAACGGCTTTGAATATTGCTTTATAACCCAGCTGTTCCTGAAAGGGTTTTCACAATTTTCTCTTTGACTTCTCTGGAGTGTTTCTTGGTTGTCCCGTGGCATTCATGAGACATTTTGTTCACTAATATGCTCTAGTTAACCTCGGCGTCCTTCACAGAACAGCTGGACTTACAGTAAAAGATGGTTGTTATTTCTTCCCCCAACCTAAAAGCAGAAGTGAAACTATTGCATACAGTTATGTGACCCCAATAGATGCAATATAGGTGTGCCCACAAGAAATGTAGTAATTTATGTACACTGTATTAATTCACAGTGACCAGTTTTTGTTTGCAGTTCAGACATTGACTCGGATGCTAGGAATTACAAAAACAGTACAAGCACTTATTGATGAAATTCCCTTTGGAGTCTTTGGAAATGTCCTCTTAAGTTCCGCTTATAGATAAAAGTTGACCTGTAGAGAATAGCCGTGTGTTATCTGTATGCGGTTGGAGTGCAGCGTTCAGCTCCTCTTTGTGTTCATTACAAGATGCCGACAAAAACTCCATCAATGACCCATTAGTCTCGACGGGAGCCAAGACCGAAAGTGTCAAACAGGCGATCTGTCTTCCAGCGGAGGAATCGGCCCGCTGCCGCCCTAATGTGCCGTAACTTGTGTGTGTGTCAAGCAAGGTCAGAATGCTTGACACACACATACAAATCATAGAAATGAGTGATTATCGGCAGTTCAAGCATTGTGCGGGAGTTCATGTCCATGCTCGACCGTTTGTTTTCACTTCCCTCCGAAGTCTCAGCGGTCCCGTTTCAGTTCTGCTGCTGCCCCCGTCTCCATTGTGTCAGAGCAGAGATGGAGAGCCGCCTTTCGGCATGAACGCTCCCGCTTTGGTGCTTTCCTGTTTCCCCCCGCCCCATAACCCCTCTCCGGGGGGGATCTCCTTGAAGTGCATCAATGCTGTTACGCAAACCAACAGTGTGCGACCCATGTGACCCAAACCCCCTCTTCCTTTCCAGCTGTAAGACTATGTGAGCCCTGTGGGTGCATTTGAAAAGAAAATAGGCCATTTCCTATTTTAGTGAAAACTATTCCAAGACAAACTGTTTTTAGTGTGAGGTTTGAAACACCCTTGGAAATTTGGATCTCTCCTTTCTTCAATGTCTTTGGACAGTGGGCCAGGCAGGGAATAATGACAGAGGAAGCAGAGGTGTCAAACTCCAGTCCTCAATGGCTGCTGTCCTGCAACTTTTAGATGTGCCTCTGCTGCACCACACCTGAATAGAATAATTAGCTCTTTACCAAGGCTCTGGAGGACTTATCTACACAAGGAGGAGGTAATTAAGCCATTTCATTCCTGTGTTTTGTATCTGTGGCACATCTAAAAACCACAGGACAGCGGCCACAAAGAACTGGAGTTTTACACTTGTGGGTTAAAGACTAAACTTGTCACAGGACTCCTACGCTGTCTGGGAAAATCTGGAATTTGATTTCAGTGTTTTTCAGAACAGACTATGGATGGAAAAAGAAAATTAAAGAATGGAAAAATATTTGTTTTTCACACAGTCTTCCTGTCCCGTACCTACATGTTTTTTCTTTCTCTTTATCCCTCTGTCCTTCATGTTCTTTCTTTACTTTCTTGTGTTCTTTGTTCCTTTCTTTGTGTAGTACCCTATTTTCCTTCTTTCTTAGTTTCTCTCTTCCTTTAATCTGTCTTTAATCTTTCATTCTTACTTTATTTCTTTTTTCTCACCCATGAAATGTTTGCCATAAATATTAAGGTAAAAATGTCCTAATTTATGTTTTGAAATAAACATGAAGAACTCAGAAAAGTTGATTCTAGAAAAAGCCCATATTTTTACATACTATCAAGTAAAACTCAGCATTTATCTAAATTATCTGAGTCTGAGTATGTTTATCTACATCCGGAACAACTATATCAGTAAGAGAACCAAAAAATGGCAAAACATAAATGCAATCCTTCAACCCTGACGGTTTCACCTCCTTTTGCATATTGTCCTGCTTCTTCCTCATCTGAGGCAGGCGGCCGGTAAACATTTTGCAACGCAACGTTTATCACAGACCAATGATTTCCCCAATTCAGCCACAAGCAGACGGGGAGGGATGATGACCAGTGTGCTCCTGCGCTTCTTGATAGGGGAAGTGCAGCAGTTCCCGTCCCACCTATGGACTAAAGATAGAAGCGGCCCGGGCAGTTTATGTGTTTTTCCTGTCTTCTGCATACTGTATCTCTGTTCCCTTTTTCCAGAGCTGGTGGCTCTCTGGGACAGGCAGCAGGGTGAAGCTGATTAAGACTAAAATCCAAGAAAACATCCTTGCGCTTATAGATAAAGTCTTTATACAAACAATGGATGGGCAATGCGATATTGCTTGTCATATATTATTATCACAATGCGTGAACCTGTTATAATAATGTTATGTGTCCCCAGGAGTCCATTTGATGAGCCTTTTTTTTTTTTGGGCTCATTAATGGTGTGTTTCCAAAAACAATGCATGCTTCAGAATACAACAAGGTACGTGTGTCATCAAAATAAATAAAAAATCATAGTAATAACTTGGCCTGTGAGAAAGTCTCAAATTTAAGCTTTTCTCAGGCAGTAAATTCATTGCATGTAATAATTACCAGGAGGAACAAGTGAGGAAAATGACCTTGAAATTGTTGAAAAGGAAACAAAAGTTTAAGAGCAAAAATTGAAAATATCCAGACACATGCAAATATTATCTAAGTTAACTTATTTTTAGTAGCACAAAAAACACAGTTATGTCACAATAAATATTGAAGTGTTTTGATATATGTTACAGTAAATCCCACTTCAGATCATGATAAATACACAACCGCAAACCAACCAATTAAAAATAATTTTGTTGTTTCACATCATACACGTTGATTCATCAGTGACCTTGTGTCTTCAAACTTCACGCTTCGTGACTGCAGATCCAAAGAGTTGTGACTTACAACTCACAACCTGAACTTTGCATAAGAGGTGTTGGGGATTCCCAGCTGGACGTCCCCAAACCACACGGTCTTCTTCTGGGCTTTTCTAAACTCTTTTCAAATTTTCTTTTAAACAAACTCGGTGGTTGTCTAGCGTCCCCAAAATGTTTCAACAGCTGCAGATTGCTCAGATCAGGCGAACTCTTCATAGCAGTGATTATCTCATAACCACTGGGTGTTGGTGTTGGTGGGTCGAATCAGGACCTTATGGGTGATCACCTGAAAGGAGTTCCAGTTCTTTAAAAAAAAAAACGACAGATATACCCATTTGTGTTTAAAATATATTGTATGAAATAAACCAGCCAGTCACCTGTGTAGAAATATTCCCTTTTAAGTTTGCAATTGTAATAAGTAAAATTGCAATTTCAATCTTTTTGATTTGTTCAAATGGACAAAGCGCTGCTGGACTGCAAATACACAAAATCTTTCCTTTTTTTTTTTTTTTTTTTTTTTGTCTAGTTTTGAGAGCAATTATCTTGAAATAAGACAAAACTAACTTACAAGTACCTTTTAAATAAGACATAGGAGCTTGTTTTAAGTCAGTAATTCTTTAATCTTGATTTAAAAATTCAACTTCCACTGGCAGAGTGAAATAATATGCCAGCAGAACAATCACTTTTTCATCAGTGTTAAGAAATGACTTACTTTGCAGTGATAGTCTCAAAACAAGGATAGTGGGAGGTTGAAAATGTGTTAACAGTACCACAACTGGCTCCAGTTTAACCAGCAGTTATAGTCAGGTTCTCCAAATGTCCTTCTGTTTCTGTGAGTAAAACACTGACGGCTATCAACAACACCACAGAATCTCCGTTTCTGAAAATCTACGCTGTTCCTTTAAGGGAAGTCGAACTCTGAATACATGCTGTACTGTAGCTGTTTTCTTTTTGTTTGTTTTTACTGCTAGCTGGAAGTCTTTTCACAGCAGCTTTGATGCCATTTTCTGCACAGTCCTGAATCAGAAGTACAAAGGCATTAAATTGATATATGTACAGCATAATGAAAAAGAGCTGCATGCTTTCACGCTCCACCTCTTGTTTTTCTAAATTGTCCCAAGTGCCGAGTGAATCAGCCATGACTCAACTCACTTCAGAGAAAATTGGAGAAAGAATACATCTAAACCAACACAAACTGAAAAAGACATATGGCAGTTTCAATGTGCCTTGGTGAAGCTCTTTCTTTTGTCTTTGATGCCCTCTGCTTGCATCCTGTGCCTTCTGAATTTCTGCTGCCATGATCTAATCTGAGACAAGGAGCCCAGAACCAGCTGGTCAGGCATCAGACATGGTTTTCCTGTCCTTTTATCTTCCACAACTTTAAAGTTAGGAAAGCTCAACACAGCGCCAAGAAAAGAAAAGGTTGGATTCGACGCTTAGATCGTTTATATATCTGACTCTGTTTCTTCGGATCTCTCCCCTGTATAATTTACCCAGTCCAGATTTAGGGCTTAAAATGAGTACGATGGCATTCCTCGGCGGGGTGGGGCCAAGAAGGGGGATAATAGTGGAGTGAGGCGGGTTGTGGAGCCGCAGACGTAGAAATGCTTTCATTCCCCAGAGGGAGAGGCTGGCTCAGTCTGGAGAGTGGGCGGAGAGGTTGGAGGCAGCTGTTTTCCAGATGTCAGAACTGTAAGATGTGTGCGACTGTAGCGGCCGATGGTGTCGTATGTACGTGTGTGAGCAGAGAGATTGGGTGTTGGTGATCAAACTGCCCAACTGCACACTGGGGACAAAGTTTTTGCTCTTTCGACCACATAATCTGTGAACGTTAAGAGGAAAAAAAAAATCCTCACCAAGTTTGGTTTCACTGAAGTGGCGTTATCGTCTTTACTGAAGTTAGGGCCTGTATAAGTTATAGTTAATGGTAGGTTATGTCTGTGCTATATGTTTCAAAGCAAACTTCTCTAATGTGTCATAAACATTTATGCAACTGCATTGCATGACTTTCACTGCGCAAAACAAGTGTGAGTGTCGCCACAGCCTAGTAAAAGTCAGACAGCGGATTAGTCAGGCCTCCAAAAACAAAGTTACCTCCAAGTTTGTGTAAGAAACCTGGCTGTGTCTGTTTTCTTGGGACTTTTTAGACTGAATACAAACTTGCAGACTAATAGAAAAGCAGACAGTAGTCCTGAGGGGAACATTAATCAGGGAAAAAGAGAAAGCAGGGAGTTTTGGGGGAAAGGCAGCCAGGTTGGCAGTAGATACAAAACGTAGAGTTTCTCATATGGAGTCCCAGACAGTTTGCACAGACATCCCTGACAAGAGTTTGAGAAAAAAAAAAAAACCTGACGATGGAAAAATATGTGCCAGCCTTGTAAAACAGTACAGGTGTCTGAATTTTGAGGAAATTCTCAAGTGTATCATCTTGTGTTTTCGGTTGCATTTTTGAGTCCAGATTTTGATTCTGTTTTGTTTTCTGGTTTCCTTTAATGATGGTCAGAATCCCCACTATCTTTAGACTAAACCAAACAAAGCAGGATTGTGTGGATTTCAGTTTAAGTTACTGTAAAGGTCCCAGAAGTCTTTGCTTGCATATCTGTGAGCTTTGTAGATTCTCTGAAATTTGTTTCTTTCACACAGGAGCAAAATGATTATTTCATTTAATAGTTTGAATTCTTTATTAATGTTTATTCTGGATTGCAGTTAATCATAGTTATACCTATGCTTGTCGTAATAATCACTTATTCACCTTTTGAATTAAAATGAGCTCAGTAACGTCTATTAATATTTTTGGTATTAATATCTTCCTGTTCCAGTGTTAAGAGTTCTTTACAAGCTCAAAGTTCGTTGGTGTTTAAGAAGGCAAACTTGCATTATTATGCTATTGTCTTCATATTAGTTAAATTGGTCGGAAAGCAAAAATGTTATAGGTTCTCACATTCATTTCTGGGACAATTTATCATCTAAAGATTTATTGTGAGTTCAACATAAGATCACTTCTTTAGACAAAATCGCTTTGTAGTCTTTAGAAAAAAGAAAAATGCACTTTAATGAAGTTTTCCTTGACATCATACAGTGCATGTTTATTTATTTCTGGTGTGTTTCACTGTTATCTCTTCAGCAGAGTTGTATCTGCCCGTTAAATGTGTCCAAATGTAACATTTTGGGGTTAACCTTTTTGTTCTTGTGCCATGTTTTGTGTGATCTCTCATGCAGAGGTGAAGGAGTACAAGCCCCCCTTCGGGAACCTGAGGGAGCACCCATGTGTGGAGAGCATGAAGGACAGCGTCCTCCGAGACAGAGGAAGACCCGAGATCCCCAACAGCTGGACGAGCCACGCAGTAGGAACCACCACACTGTCCTTTCCGTGTGATGTTGTTTGAAAACCTGCATGCTTCTTTTTTAACTTATCTTCAAATGCAGAAACAGCGCCTTGCAAAAGTGTTCATGCTTCTCGACCTTTAGTCATGTTACAGCCTCAAACCTCTGTGTCTTTTTTAGGGGGGATTTTTCGTGTAATTATGTGACCTTCAGATGTCACATAATTACTAAAGTGAGCCACTTGTGTGTGATTTAACTTCAGTATGAACACAGATTTTCTATGAACTCAATTTAAAAAGGGTTTAGTTGCTGGAATCACAAGAAAGATTCTTTTTTTTTCTTTCTTCGGTTATGGAGAAGCTTATAAATCATCCTCGGCAAGTTCTTTTAATAAAAAGTGGATTAAAAGCAGATTTCTTTTCTAAATCAATACTGCTTTCCTCATTTTAATTCTTAATTTTCCAAAGTATGCATCACTTGAAGAATCTCAGTTTCTCAACTTTTTAGTTATTCATGGCAAATGGATTATATAGCACTTTTCCAGTCATGACCACTCAGAGCGCTTTACACTAGAGTCACATTCACCCAATCACATTCACAGATCGATAGGAAGCTTGGGGTTAAGTGCCTTGCCCAGGGGCACATCAACATGTGACAGGAGGAAGCTGAAATCAAACCTGCAACCTTCCGATCACAAGAGTATTATTGTTGATACTGAAGGTTTTTTTTTTTCTTTTACAATGCAAACTCTTAAAAAATGATGACTAAATGGTGGCAACCCCTCAAACGTTTTCCAACAATAGAGAGAATTGATTTCTCTCAGATTTAATTTCCCCAATAAAATTGGACAAATTATAGAATATTTTCTCTTGTCGTTATCAGTAGATAGGAATGTCAGGACAGTTGGTCGATCAGTCTGGAAGTCCGTCTCTGCCACTGACCGTCTGACTGTGGTCCCCCCCCTGCAGGGCATCCAGATGGTGTGCGGCTCTATAGAGGAGTGCTGGGACCACGACCCGGAGGCCCGGCTCACCGCGCACTGCATCGCCGAGCGCTTCGACGACGTGGAGTACCTGGACAAGCTGTCAGACTGCTCCGACTCGGAGGAGAAGATGCTGGAGGAGATCATTCTGGTGGACGAGAAGTAACCGCTCGACAGAAGCGCTGCCCCCACCAGGGTGACTGAGGCATTACAACCAAGCGGCTTAGAAAGGAAGGACTTTCAATGGATGGAGTTGTTCAGTCCACAGGACGTGTGACAAAGGAGACAAACTGGAAGATGACAGTGATTTTTTTCATTTTGTTTTGTTTTTTTTTTTACCAGAGAAATCATCAAGATCAAATCAGGAACAAACACGGGAGATCAAACTATGCATCAGTTTTAACCAAGTACTATTTGCACTTTATGAATAAGAATTTATACAGTATATATGCACACCAAAGTGGAGAGCAGTTTCAGTTTCACAGAAAATTTTCAGGTATGGAAAATAAACGGAGCTGCACACAGAAGGGAGCTATGTAAATTACAGAGGAATTTAATACACTAATATACAGCTTATTTTGTATTCAAGTGCCTGTATTGTTTTTTATGTTTTATTTCTGGCTTTAGATGAATGTCTTGACCAAAGATGCCAGGTGGATATAGGCGTATAAGAAAACTGATCATCTATGCAGAGATGTAATGTGCAAGGATGGTTATTATATCTGCAAGGACTGTAAGCTGTTTAACATGCATGAGGAGGAGAGGAGGATGCAACTCTGTGCAAAACTCCTGACTCACTCTCATCTCCTTCTGTTCATAACCTGCTTTCAAACAAACTCTCTCCTTTCGTTTCAGAAGGTTAACTTCTTATTCCAGTTTGACTTAATTGGGCCTTTCATTCAGCTGCAGATAAAAGGCATCAAACTCACAATGTACGAACCAGTTTTAGCTGCTTGAAACTGGTTGCATCTTTTATGTTTATTTTATGCAGCAAGAAGTGGCGAGGTGAGCGTCTGTGAAAGCATTTCTGCATCAGAGTGATGTTTTCTAGAGGAACGTTTAGTCAAAACATGGAGGCAAAACGAGACTTTACAATTAGATGAGGAAACTGGACAGCTAAAACTAATGAACTACGAGGATCTCTGCCTGGTAAAGATGTGTAAAAGTCTTAAAGTGTGCTTTACTTGTCTTACTGCTCTTTGCTGCAGTTGTCTAACAGGAAGCTTTATTTACCCCTAAAGTCTGGATTCACACGTTGAAGTCTTTACCTCAACTGTAACATCCACACACCCTTTGAGGTGAACATAGTCTGATTTCACTATGCACAGTTATGACAAATTGTATTAAAATCAATTCTTTGACTCTAAACCCACAATATAAGGTCAAATTTTTCTGAAAGTTTCAGTGTGAGATCATGTTGGTAAAACAACAACAATAATAATAATAATAGAAATATGCTTTACACAACTTTGTTAGTGGGGCCAAAAAGGAGGAGCATTGAATCTACAGCAGATTATCAGTATCTGAAAGAGAATATCCTTTTAAATTGGAAGTTCTGAGAAAAAGTGTCGTCCTATGTTGTACCAAAGAAATCAAATTTTAAAAAATGCATATTTGGGTATGTCTATAGTATTTATTGTAAAAAAAACCAAAAAATTCCTAAATATTTCTAATCTAAAAATATAAATTATTAGAATATAAATAGGACACAATATGAAGGAACTTGTCATTGATGTCCTGAGGAGAAAGCTTTAGGTTAAAAGAGGCATGTTGGCGTAAGAGTTGTTCAGGAGTTTTCACAGATTTCACTATATTCATGTTTGTATTTGTGTGTTTCTTCTTCAGAGGACTGTAATGTCAGATTATTAGGTCTGTTTATTCAGACCACAAAGAATAAGGAAAGCAATATAATATGTTGAGGATGCTCGACTGGAGGAGAAGTCCTCTTTTCTATATTTTATGAAAGCTGAATATGTAAGGTGTTTATGAGCTAATGTGCCATTTTTTTCATACAGAAAAGCAATGTCTCAGCAAATCTCCAAAAATATTTTGTATCAAACTTTTGTATAAAAGTGTAAAGTCAATATTAAAAATGTTTCTATTGTGTTTTAATGTGATTTCGGATCTTTTGACATTTCTGAGCCAGTTTATTAGTTTTTCTTTTCTTATTATTTCTGTTACTACAGCTTTGAACTTATTGTTTTGATTTTATTCCCGTTTATCTTGCAATTTTAAAGCTTTCACCTCCAGTATATAAAACGGACTGTGTAAGTAGACGGCCAAGTCCAAAAATGCTTGAATCCTAAATGTGTATCAAAGTAACATTTGCATGAAGCAGTGAATACATTTAACTTCTTCATATCGCTCAGATGAAAATTTTACGTTCCAAACTGTCTTTTTATGACTTATTTCTGTTTTCTCAGGGAGGGATGACAATAATAGAACAGAATTTCAGTGACTTTAACAAGAAGCATTGCGTCCTTTAGCACTTTAGCTTTCAGTTACTGTAAACATCGTGATTCTGTAACAACTCGTTTTGGCAAAATGGATAGTTGGGTTAAACTGGTTGGGTTACGGTTTATTTTGAGGTTTTTTTTGCGCATGAAATATCCATTTCAATTAAATATCCCAACATGTGAGAATAAGAATATGTTGGGGGGGGGGTTGTTTGTTTTTTGTTTTGTTTTGTTTTTTTTCCATTAGCTTTTTTCAAGTCAGCAATATGGAATCAGACAAAGCTGGCTCCTTCGCTAAGAAGCGTTTGCTTCAAAGTGAAGGCAGCACATTTAAAAACACTCATTGCTTTTCTGGACACGTACACAAAGACAACTTGAGGTTGTGACTGTTAGCACATATATAACAAAACTCAAGCAGCTTTTGAAGTATCAGTTCCTGTGATGATGGACAGACAGTCTGTGTGTTTTTACACTGACAGTTGGCTGAAAGAGCCAGTGATGAGATAAGGGCTTCAGCAGGTCCGCTCAGTATTTGCTCGGATGGCCTCTGCAGCATTTGACAGCCCTTCTGATCCTCGGCCCATATATCTGACTTCAGCTGCCTCTGGCTTCCTGCCAACGCAACTGAGCCACTGCTTCACGGTTTCTCCAGGTTGTCCGTCTGCAAGAATCTGTAGGCTTTTAATTAATTCACTTACTGCATCCCAGAACTTCGCCTGTATTGCTTTTAGCATTCTGCGTAAACTGACCGGAGAACTTCAGCTTAGAGCGCAGAGCCAGAGGACAGCTGAGATGGTTTCTGTCTGATTGAATGTCTGAAGGTCATTTAGATTTGAATGCACCTTTAATGTCTGCAAGCTTTCCTTGGCGAGAGACAAGTTGTCTAGTCTTAAGATGAATCAATAGTTCTCCTTTCCATGTTTTTCTTTGGACTTTATATATAATATTTTATGTTTCTTTGTCGCTTAACTGTGTAGCACCAACGTATCATTTAGATCCACATCTGAGATCTGGGTTGTACATTCCTCAGAAATCTGATGCATTATCCATAAACTGGTTTTATGCCCTCTGGTGGAGAAACTGATTACTACATGAGCTTTTCACTCCTTGGTATGGCTATGAAAGGTTCTGTTCAAAGAAACAGATTGTTTCAAAGAATGTTTGTTGAGTACTCCAAATAATAACAAAGTGGATACTTTTATTATGGAAATGTGCAATATTTTTGGAATTAAGTCAATCAGCAAAAATACATGATTAAATACAAATTATAGAAAAACAGGAAAATTAGATACGCAGCTTGGTATATTCAGCGTTCTAATACCATCTGGTTTGATTTGTTTTTATCAGTGTGATTAGTAATTGTGTCCAGGAATGTGATGCAGCATTGAAAGAAGCTATTTGATTGGGGGAAAAAATCTGCTAAAAGTTTAACGTTATTGAAGGACAATGGTGGTTTAGTGTTGTTTTTGTGCTTAAAATGGACATAATGTTTTAAAGCAGGGTTTTTTCTATTTCTAATTGGATCCTTCTGTTGTTGGAATCCAATCTGGAACATGTTACTTTACATCTGTTAGCACACCATTCAAACATAACCAACCAGCCACCACTGGATATTTTATGGATCAGTTTCAAGTTGTTTCTAGAAGATTTCTTGATTTCTTGACTTAGTTTAAAAAACCAAACCAACATCATTAAAAACCAAAATTTAAAAACTGTAATGGTAATATCTAATGTATTTAAACTTCATCTATACAAATGCCTTTATTCAAATTTGATATTCATCTGTGGTTTGTTATGAAATATAATCAGGCTCTTTTTTTTATTACATTCTCAAGATGCATATGATTCTCTGGCTGCTATTTTTATTTTCATGGACTTCATCTTGGATATTTGCATAACAGTATCACTCGACACCTGTAGTACATGGATCCTCCACCAGGGGCAATGTGATAAATATAGGATCTGATCTCGTTTACTGGGTTTTTGTGTTAAAGAGAAAGCAATCTCAGAAAATTGACCCATTTTTCCATTCATATGCTTAAGAAAATAGAAAAACAAGTGTTTACACTGAAGTAACTAATAAAACTTTATGTTGGGCTGCAGTTACCACTACATGTTATATTAACTCACTGTCTACTTTTTTGTGATGCTGTTGTTGCATACATATGCATATGTTGTTCATTGCTATTTCTTGATTCTCTGTTCTCTCCAGGTATAGATAAAGACTTCTTGGGTGCTGTCTTGTATTTTCTCTATTGTTCTTTCTATCTCCTTCTCTTATTTATTTTGTTTTTTCTCTTATAAACCTTTTCCCACGCCATTCTACATTTTCATTTCCATTTATTTTCCATCTTGATGTCTGTTCCTTTTAAAACAGACTCAAATCAATTACTAATGAAGCTCACCTGGACCCTCGTAGTGAAAGCCATAATGTTCCACTTGTGAAGGTGAAACTATTGGGTTTTACCTGAACAATCAGACAGTTTTCACGCTGCAGGACAAGGGAAAAAATAGGAAAACATTCAATGAATGTGTAAAAGAAAGCCTGGCAGTTGTGACATCTATGTCACATTTTTAGCTTTCTAACTGAAAAATTAACATTTTTATTTGATTTTGTGTTTTTTTTAACCCTCAAATAATTTGTTGGCCAGAGTTATTGAAAAAATCTGTCATTTTCCTCCGCCAGCAATCATGGGTTAAAAAGGAAATGAAGACCAGAACAATCTTTGAAGGCCTGAAGAACTTTTCACTTAGACCATTTTAAGAGATCATAGAAACGCTTGGCAGCTTAGAAATTTATTGCTCAAGATTTGTACATCACTGAACACCTCCTTCTGTTTCTTTTCAAAGCTTTATTTTCCAAGCCTCATTCTGTTGTATCTTTGTCTGATACAAAGCATCTGAATGAAGGCGTCATTCTTGCAGATTGAAAAATCCACCAACGACGGAAAAAATGCACTTGGGAGCAGTTGGAAAGTTTTCTCTCTTTTTTAAATTTTTTTTCCATGCTTCAGTGAGCTGAGTTTCTGTCTCACAGGGAGTTTCTTTGATTGCCCCTTCCCACAGTTCAAATGCTCTATTTACATAAACTGTGCCACAGGCATTCATTGCGTGGGCTGCACCAAATATACACTACAGATCCTGCTGAGGTTTTTGTATGCAAGATGATGATGGATGGTGTATAATCTCTGCATTATAAGCAGATTACCATAGGAGAGTCAATGAGAGTATTTCTTATAATTCTTCAGCATCAAATAAGTTTTCAAACGGCAGAGAGGCGCTCGCTGGGGAGATGGAGATGACAGAGAAAGCCTCCAGGTGCCCTGTGGAAAACTTACTTTACACCGACTTAAAAGAGAAGAGTATATTCTTAGCTGCAGTTTGGTAACAGTGTATGTCGACTGTCTGGATAGATTACGAAATAAATTCTCTGTTTCCGTCAACATTCCTGCATAATTCACAGAAATCTGACCAATTTTGCGATCATTAAAAAAAAAAAGCAACGCATTGTCAATCAGTGGAAATGTTTGCCTGTGATGTTGCGTTAATTGAGGCCTCTGAGAAATCAGACGCGTCTGAATCTGCCTGTAGTTAGCGTTCTAACCAGAAGAGGGCGAAGTGGTTCTACTGGACGCTGCAGACAAACTGTGTGGCAAGTGGCGCCTCAGTCAGCCAGCTGAAGCTGAGAACACCGAGATTTCACTGGCCACAACTACTAACCCATCTCTTTATATTAGTGTTTCATCAAACACACGACACACAGAGTGATATCTTTCTTTAATGGTTTATGTTGCTGTCAATAATTGTGGCTTTGGGCAAATGGAGAAAACATTCAGCGTCTTCAAACACGCTGAATGGATGCTGCATGAGGCCAGTTAAAAAGTATTAATAATACAGGGATATCAGGTTGTGGCTCAGGTTGCTGACTTCACTGTGAATCTGTGGTCAGTGAGTGTCCAGCAGACTGACCAATAAAGCGTCTTTGCTAAAAAAGCAAAATCTGTACCCAGGTGTACTGAAAGGTTTAGTGGAAGGAAAAGTGGCCTTGAGAGGATTATGAAGATTTTGAGAGGCTTTGAAACAGAAAGTGCTGCAGCTGGAGTCGGTGCCTTAAGAACAATCACCACATGCAGGCATATCTGGGTCCTAAGCTGCCAGTGTCACTGTTCTCACGTGAAACTATTCCAGATTAGAAGACGTCAGAAAGCCTCTTACCTGGGCTAAAGAGGAAAAGGAACAGACTGTTACTCAGTGGTCTGAAGTCTTCTTTTCACATGAGAATAAAGTTTGTATTTCATAAAAATCAAGACTGAGAGTGCGTTAGGTGTGAAGTTTCCACCCTCTGTGGTTATTTAGTGAGTCACATCATTTGATGGTGTTTCACTGTCCTTATCTTATCAACTCAAATATCAGGGGGAAAAGTAACAATACTTTACGCTTCTGACTCTTGGCTAACTGTTCTCTTTTAGACACCAGCCTGCTAAAAGCTGCTTTAATAACCATCATGTTTCTGCATTTGATTGGGCAGAAAACGGCCTGATCTGAACCAAACAATGCAGACACTGAACGCTGCTCTAAAAGGAACCTGAGCTTCTCTAACACCTCATAAGAACCAGGGGTTCACTACCTCCATGCCACACTGCATGGATGGAAAAC